ATCCTATGCGGACTACCTCGATATTGCCTGAAGTCACAAGCTTTATATGCAATGATGAATAGTGGCTAGCCTTAACTTATGTAACAATTTAATAATCAATCATTAATAAGATTACATTCCTAAAGGATATCAATTGATAGATTATTACTTAAGTGCTAACTTGTCTTATTATGAAAAACATAAATGAATAATTTTATTAAATCAAACATATACTTATTATTAGTATTAATGGTAAACTATTGTTTTCAATCATTCCTGTTATTTAAAACAGCTGGTTACAATATGTTGTTTTGTTTTAATTTATTATTTTTAAAAAGATACGAAACAAATTGTATTCTACAAAATATTACAGAGATCATAATGTTTTTAATAGAATTTTCAAAGAAGACCAAATGTATGTTACCAGGCTGTAAATATATACATGTGGTTAGTTTTTTTTTGGTTGTTGAATGATTTGTTTTGTTTTTATATATGAGAAACATTTTTTTATTTTTTGAACGGTGAAAAATTTTTAGAAAAAAATTATTTTGAAAGAAATTCATTTCCCCCCTTTAAGCGGCTTCATAAAAGAATTTATTGTTATAGTATGTTTTCTTTATTCAAAAAAAATTAAACAATTTTGAAAAAAACTTGATCGAATGGAATGAGTGTATTGTAATAAAATTGTTAAGTACATTTGTAACTGGGTAAGTGAATTTGTCTGTTTTGTCAATAATATTTCAATAATTTCATATAGAATAATCTGATTCTACATAAGAATTCTTAGTATAGAGAAATAACTAACATCTTTATATTTGGTAGCTTTGACATTCTATAAAATTCAACTTTGTGAATAAGATCAGAATTTTCAGTACGAATATCAAGACAGTTCTACTGTATGAGGGCGGAAACTTGGAGAACTACGAAACCCATCATCCAGAGGATAAAAGTGTTTATTAACAGTTGTCTACGAAAAATACTTCGGATCCGTTGGACAGACACTATCAGCAACCAACTACTGTGAGAGACAACAAACCAGATTCCAGTGGAGGAAGAAATCAGGAAGAAGCGCTGGAAGTGGATAGGACACACATTGGGGAAATCACCCAACTGCGTCACGAGGCAAGCCCTCACATAGAATCCCGAAGGCCAAAGGGGAAGAGGAAGACCAAAGAACACATTACGCCGAGAAATGGAGACAGATCTGAGAAGAATGAACAAAAATTGGATATAACTAGAAAGGAAGGCGAATGACAGAGTGGGTTGGAGAATGCTGGTCGCCGGCCTATACTTCATTGGGAGTAACAGGCGTAAGTAAGTAAGAATAAGCAGTGGATATAGACATACTATGAGAGGAGGTTTTGAATATCTAGTTAGAATTTTCTATACGTGGAGCTGAGATATATTTACGGTGTATTATCTATCACGAGTTGAATTGTATGGTTATTGATCTGGATTGTAAAGTTGAGCATGTATATCGCTGAGCTTCAACCTCAGTAGTCTTAATGATTTAGAAGTAATTGCGAGATGTGAAGGTCTTAGAGCTTATTTAAGACCTGGCTATGAGTGACCAACATTGAAGCTTCACACACTAGAATGAAACATTTGTCTTTGACTTTTATGGCACTTTAAATGGAAACAATCCACATAATTACTGTTATGTTCTTATTGCCCATTAATTATCACATGTTACTATCTCCAATTGGAACACTGACTTAATGACCAAGTCAATAACTCATAAACCAGAACGATTAGTCCAGGGTCAATCATGAGTTCATATTGATTCACTGAAATGGTAGCTTCTCGCCTAACCCAACCGGGTCAGACCAGAACGCCAATATAAGCTCCCGCTATTACTTACTTACTTACGCTTCTTACTCGTCGTGGAGGAGCATAGGCCGCTCACCAGCATTCTCCATCCAACTCTGTCCTGAACAATCTCTTCTGGTTGTTACTCATTCTTTTCATGTCTGCTTGCAATTCCTGACTTAATGTGTTTTCTGGCCTTCCTCTTTCCCGCTTCCTTTCAGGATTTAATGTTAGAGCTTGCTTCGTGATGGAGTTTTGTGATTTCCGTAATGTATGTCCTATTCACTTGCAATGTCTTTTCGTAATTTCCTCTTCAGCTGGAAGTTAGTTTGTTCCTTCCCACAGTAGGCTGCTTCTGATGATATCTGGAAGACTCTTTTATACGAATCATATATTTCAGGCATACTAGGTTTATGTACAAAAAACCAGATCGCATCATTTCATAAAACAGAAAATAACAATTATATAAGATCAGGTCACAGCGTTACTGTGATTATAAAAGACTGTTACAAATAAATTGGGAATATTTTAAGAATTGTGAATCGTATAGTTATAGTCAATGAGTTAACTAAAAACTCATAATAATAGTAATATGAATATGCATATTATATAGTTCCTTGATAGTGATGCAATCAGAATATATATAACAATAGTTCACAAATAAATCCTAGTGGTTGTTAGTCACTTGTTCTTCGTCAGAGGATGGCAATTGCCTTCTGCAAACAGTAAAGAGTATAAAAAACTCCAAATTAGTTTTCAAGCAGAAGTTAAAGTTGGTTATTCATTGAAAATCTAGTCATCATCAATGAAATATCACTCAACGTAAAACAACAAACTGAAATAAAACCCGGGGAAAAATTGAAATAAATTATAGGCTTTTGTACAGGCCTACGAATAAGTTACACATTACTATTGAACCCTTAATTATGCTTGGGAAGCATAACGTTTCAAATATGCATCATTTTCGAAGTTCATGGGCAGCCCAGCTTTCTCGAGAATATTTTTACTATGCCTGGAGAGAAATGTTTAGTATATCTCACCATTCCATCTAAATGATCCTAGTTTGTAACCTGATATCTTTTCTTTTTATATCACTGCCTCTGTGCCTAGATTAATTTTTCTAAATAGCCTTTATACATACACCGATTCTTAAGTATTGATCAATGCTAAAGAAATCCCAGGCAGGAGTAATGAGAAGCCAGTGAATATCAACTATCTGTACGGAAGGGTCAATTTGTAGGTTTATTTATCGAATACCTTGTTGGAAGTCATCGTAATACAATCTCCTAAAAAATCAGCATAATGAAGTTTTCTTAGTTGCTTTCATCTCAAATAAAGTGGAGTGCATTTTAACTAACTGAGAGCTTCATTATTTCTTACTCAGTTTACATGACTGGAAACTAATCTTATTTCGAAAAAAATAAACAAGATAGAACTAATTTTGTTTTTGTAAACATCTTCAGCATTGTGATTTTGGTATAGGAGTTTATTATTTTTGTCAAATACGGTTTTCCTGTTGTGAATCTTAACATACTATTAGGGATTTATTTCTTTTCTCATACATTACATAACGCACTATTCATGACTAAATCACTACTGAAAAACAGGAAACATCGAATTGGTGATTCGTCATATAACGGGACGTTTTGGTAGTGTGCATCACTCCAGAAGAAGGTCGAACCTAGGATCTTTGGCCTAGAGGTCAAGCGCCTAATCACTAAACCATTGATCGTTATCTTTTGGTTGACAAGATACTCATGACCTACCACCTAGATAATGAACAAATCGAACAAACATTTTAACGCCTATAAGTTATTCAGTAAAATGTTCTGTCCTAGTATCAGCATAATGGATTTCAAACCAAGACACCAATATGTCGAATTTAACTGATGGTACGAATTATGTTTCCGAAGAATATCAAATTATTCACAGAGTAAAAAAAACAAGTTTTTATTTATCATTGACAGTGAGTATTAGTAACACAAAACTACAAACTGAGGAACACGATTAATGTAAATCATTCTATGGTATTTATATAATCCAAGTGTGAAAAACAATAAACTGAGGCTTAATATTACTTAGTTCAATACATGCTAAATTTACCATTCCTATGATAAGATAAAATGTTCTATCCTTATTGGTTTTTATTAGTTTTCAGGTTGATATAATTCTGTATTTTATAACAAAAATATTAATGCATTTAAACAGTCTAAAATTAAAATAAATTTTCAATCTATTATGTAGTGAATAAGAAGACGAGTGGGGACAATCGAATGTGTTTGACACAAAAATTAAAATCATTAAAATCTGACAACCATACAGTATACAGTTAATTTGAAAACAATCAATTAATTGTCTAAATCTTGACCATTCCTTCTGCACATATCAGTCCATAGTCTCCGACTATTATTGTTCATGCATTTTCATACCAGTCGCGTTTCGTTCCAGTTCTTTCGTTATTGATTTTCTGCTGTAATACATTCCATGTCCGACCATCATAATATACTACTTATGTGGATATAAGTAACCTACACTACAATAATAGTTGTAATTTTTAAATTAGACATTTCTTTTCTTCATTTAAAACAAAAACGAACTCAATAAAATGGTATATTTTTCATCATATAAATGAATTTTATTAAATGATTCAGAAACTTCTTGAAAAATAGTTCGAACGGAAATCTTAAAAAAAATAGAAAAAGAAAACTATACTTAAACAAAACAAATAAAATAAAAAATTGTTGCTATGTAATAAATCGATGTATAAGATGACTTAGCAATTAAATTTTATTCTTAATCAATGAATTCTTTTGCTTAGGATAGACAGATGAACAGAATGTTTCATAATTCAATAATAATAATAATAAATTCACTTAGTATTACTTGTTTGAATCTTCCCATTGATTTTTAACACCACAATTGATCAGTCTCTTAGTGGCATATGTGCATACTATGCGTATTGCCTCGATATAGCCTTAATTCACAGGCATTGTAAGCAAAGATGGATAGTGGCTAGCAGTGGAATCTAGGACGTGTATTTCGTCTTATTTGGGACTTGTACGCTGGATGTACCTGCATCTGAGATTTGATGTTCATTCTGGGACTCGAACTGAGTACCTTTCGTTCGAAACGCCATCACGTTATCCACTCAGCTACTGAGTCCTGATATCCAGAGTGAACATCAACTCTGAGATGCAGGTAGATCTGGCTGACGAGTCCCATATAGGACGAAACGCGAGTCCTGGATTCCACTGCTAGCCACAATCCATCTTTGCATACAATATTCATAATAATTTTTAATAATTCTGAATATAAATTATTGTAAATAAATAGAGTCAACAGATGATCTAAAGTCAAAAATAATACATAATTAAAACAACATCAAAATTTGATTGGTTATTTATCATTTTAATATAAACAAAATTCTATTGGTTGGGAAATGATGAATGATTGAAGTTATGTAATTTTTAACCTGGATTAATATGTTATTTTCTAAAATGTATAACAATTATTTCCTAAGTAATCTATTCTATGGTAAGAAACATAAAAAATAGGAATAGTGTAGAGAAATATGTGGATTACCTGACATTAGGATCTAATGATATATGAATACAAAAAAAATCATGGAAATATTTGATGAAAATTTTATTGATGAGACATAACGTGGACGAAATTATTCACTTACTTACATTTGAATAACAGTGAACATCTAAGAACTTATTGTCCTAAGAATTTGTTTATATATGCAATAGTATTTACTCTTTGGAAGTTTCAATTTGATAAATAGTTATTGTACGAAGATGATTTTTCAACAAGACTTCAATACTCCTCATATATTTTCACCTATTCAAATTGCAACACCACAACCATTCAGTCCAAAAGCGACTACTATACTATCACGTGAAGAACGTTTGCGTTTACGTAAACAAGAACGTCGTAGACGTAAATTGCAAGAGATTAAATCTGGAGTTAAGAGATTTATAGCAATGCTTTTCTCTCATATTGGATTATCCGGTTTGGTTATTGCTTATACAATTGTAGGTGGTCTATTGTTTGGTGGTATTGAACGTGGAAAAGAGAAAGAAGTTAAAACATTGGCTTATGAATATAGAATTGGTGCTTCAAATGAATTTCTGCAATTAGTGTTTGGTGAAATACATAGTTATTTAGCAAAACAAGCGCAAAAATGCAATGATACCATTGCACTTTTAGAGTTTGTTATTGATTTCTTGGAAAAAGAAAAGCCAAAGAAAAAAACATATGCTGTGGAAAATATAAAAGATACCTTGGATAATAGCGATATAAATCATGGAAATAATACGGAATTTTTAAATACTACTGACTCGGTTAATAGAAGTGCTTTTAAGAATTTCGAAAATATCAACTTCAATGCTTCAATGGCCACAAATTATTCCACTAACTTAAGTAAACTAAATACATCAAAGAATTCAGTAGGATTATATTATAAAAACGTAACCAATATAGTAAGCGAATTGGAATCAGACAACATACGAGGTGAATACTCATTAAAAGCTCAATTTATTTTATTACTACGTAGTCGTGTACAAATAGCACTTATGGAATTCACTAAACATGTTGTTGATTTCATTGAAACTGACGGTTGGAATGGTAATGATTCAATGGAAGATTTAAAGTGGTCATTTGCTGGTTCTGTCCTTTATGCCATTACTGTGATTACAACAATCGGTAAGTGAATTTTTTTAAATGCACTGTTGCAATAGGCTTTGCCTTCTTGGAATTCAATCTTATAACGTATATCAGGTTAAAATAAAAATGTTAGAAGGTTTAATGTTATCTGAAGACGGGCTTAATGGTAATACGTTAAAAAATTTCTGGCACTGTTATTTACTGTATAAAGAAAATTGAAATATGAATTACGTAATATGAGCCATATTTGTATAAGTATTGCTAGCTACACAGTGAAATATTTGAACAGTAAAGTTCTTTTCGTGTAGACCTTTACTCTGTTTCTCACAATGACACATTTTTAGTTATACATCCAAATTTCTTGATTTATATGGTTTCAATATTGACAGTATCGAAATAGTCATATCGTTCCCAAATGCTTTTGTTCTATCGATTAAATTGCATCACATTAAAGTGTGGGTTTCTCACACAACTTGATGCGCCCACTTTGTACAGATTTTTTTGATGATAATGATTTATGGCGAAGCTCAATACTTTTGAGCTGGATTGTTGAATTGATAAGCTTTGTCTGTTGTTTTAAGCAACAATCTTATCACCTGTTTATCAGTAAGTTAAATACTTCACCCATGTAGGTTACCATCAGTATAGTCTTCTTCTCAATTAAAGCTTTAATAACTATTCTATTGATAAACAATTCATTTAAACTATAAAATCTGAAGTTATGTAATGTTATTGCTTCAAAACTTGTTCGCTAAAAATTATGTTTAAAATTTCAAGTTAGATTTTCCAAACATCTACCAAATTTCTAAGTTGCTGAAAAAAATATACCGGACTAACCATTCAGATTTAAGATAGCAGGTCTTGCATTTTGGCGCGAGATTCATCCACTCACTTGGCTAAATACCATTTCGGCACTATAGCTGATGTCAGTTAGTGATGAAAACATTGAATATAATTTCTACCCCTAACGTTTAACTGTAAATCCCATTCCTAGTTCATTGCACTAATTTATAACCCTCATTTAACCCTAGTAAGTAGATAGATAGTTTCCTTAGGCTATTTCAGAGTTGCTCAAAAGTCACACCAAAAAACCCTGACAATCTCTTTTTCATATATTCAACTTTTGATGTCCGATTTCATTCTGTTTATTCAATCATATAAATGAATGTAACAATCACAACTCTCATGTGGTACTGTTTAGAAAAGGATCTCAGAATTAATTATTCAGTGCCTATGTATTTTTATAATGAAGCTATCTGTATGAATTTCTGGTGATTAATTTTCACGTTTTGTTTACGTATATAAATAGTACTGTCATGTTAATTAATCATTTAACAAAAACACCTGAAAAAACGTTTAAGTAAACTATATACAATATTCTCCTGCAATGAAACCTTTTAGTATAGCATTGGAAAATTCATCCTTCTGCTTCTCTTACAGTTCTTACTTGTAAAATATGTAAAATATGATTAGGAGTTTAGATAATTATGTAGCTTTCAAAACATTACTATTAAATGTAAAGTAGTAAGAAAATAACTGAATAGTTTTTGAATAATTTTATGTCCATTATATCTATACAGTTTGCAATTAATGGATAATTGTACCTTAACTGGGTGGTTTGTATTTAAAAAAATATTTTGTCTCAAACAAACATCAGCTGTCAAAACACTCAAAAACAAAGGGGCATGAACTACTGTTTAGTCATTATTTGTTATTTCAGACATTCAATAAATTTAATATTAAAACGATTACCTACCAACAGACACTAATGATTTGGGTAATCAAATACAAAATGTTTTTGATCCTTTGTGATATATGGTCTCGATTGATTGGTACTATTTAATATTAATTTAGATGTTTGAAGCAGAAATCCTTTGTGTACAGTTTTCCGGTATGCTCCATACATAAAATTAATCACCAGAAATGATCGATAAATGAATATACAACTAAAATCTTGAATTTGTTACATTTTATAGAAATTGTATTTTGCTGAAATTTCACATCATTCAGAAGTAATTTTGATTACTAGCTGACAATGGATTGTATCAAATAAATAACCTTCAAATTGTTATGCGTGGAAAACTTCAATTAGGTACCAAATTAGAGTACAATAATTGATGTTTCTAAATGATTGATATTTTCAAAAAATGTGGGATCTTTAGACATTACCACAAATAAACAATATAACTCCAAATTAGTTGTATTGACACTTTTACTTCAAGTACGCGATCTTGATTTTCTGATAAAGTTTTTTTCTATATATAATGGTCACTTCAAGGTGTTTAATAGAAGCTATTGATCACCATTTATAAACCCAGAGACAATAAAATATCTGGAACCACGTAGCTTTCTAATAAAAGAATTCGACAGGTACTCGTAAAAATCAATGTAATTGTAAGTTATGTTAAAGCATGAAACAGTTCACTTTCCAAACTATTACAAAATTCTTTTCACGTAGTCTAGATGTATATGTAAATCATTATATTGATAGTGAAAAAAGAATAGAAGTTAACAGTTAGTTGTGTTCTGCATAGCTAATATACTGGAGAATAAACTGAATAAAACGTTTATGTAATTAAGCATAAATCCCTTGCTTTTATTGATAATCAAACATTTTAACCACACACAAAAATAATATTACTGCAATGAATTTCCCTTCCAATCTGAATTAATAAGGGTTACCGTAAAAATCGAATCAACTGTATTAATGTTTGATGAAGTCGTTATTTAATGGAGTCTTCATATGAAAGTTCCTTAAGATACGAACAATTATTTATACAATACATTACTATTGACCATAAAGAAAACATTATAAATGAAATTCTATGTTTAAGAAGTGAAATAACTGTAACGTTTCGTCCATCAATCTTTATTGAAGTCCCATAATAAACTTATTAGCACCAAAGTTACCAGATATAAATAAAATATCAGTAATAACCAGCTATTTAGTTATATTGTCTACCCATAAAAACAATCAAAAAATGATTTATTTTGTTATTTTGAAAACAATTTTCATTCAGTTGACAACAAAGAAATTGTTCACTTGATTCCAAGCATCTTTATTCATCAGAATAGATATTATATTGTTAAACTATATAGTTTTACACAGATGATAAAATCCCAGTCCATGTTTATGTTCCTCAATTTGCATCATATACTAACAATCTTAAAGTTTCATCAACAGTATGGTTCCAAAAGAAAACATTGTATATGTTTGTATAACTATATGACAAACAACCTTCGACTACGATTTGGGCACAGTGAAAATGCTTAAACAAACTAGTATTCTGAACTTAAAGCAAGTCATGTAAGATAAAAAAATAACACTGATGACACATAAATAGTTTCGAAAACACTATCGTGATTTAGATTTTGCAGCCATGATCTTATTTCCACGACTTTTTCAGAAAACAGACAGTCATTGTACCATATAACTAAGCAAATGTAAAAACGGTATTATTATGGTTTATATAATTTTAATATTATATATGATATACTGTATCACTAGAATTGTACTATTTATATAGCCCTTTTTTCATAGGTTTTTTGTTTACGCTAAGCATTTCATGCGAGTTTCATGATATTGAATAGATGACAACTTACACATTTCAATTTACTTTAGAGCAGTGTAGTGAGGATAAACGAATGTATCTTATCACAACATTACAGAATACCTCATTAAAATATGAGAATCATATAGTGAACAGTTAATTTGATAAATAACAATCAATTGTCTCAATTTGTCTGTTTCTTCTGCAAATATCAGTCCATAGTCTCCGATTATAATTGTTCATGCATTTTCTTACCAATTGCGTGCCGTTCCCGTTCTCTCCTTATCGATCTTCTAGTGAAATACATTCAATGCTCGACCATCACCATATACTACTTATGTGGATATAAGTAACTCACATCATAGTAGTTCTACTTCAATTCAACTTAAATATTATTTTCATATGATTTATCACATGCTTGTTGAGCAAAATAACTTAGATCAGAATTAAACTATGATGCATCTACTTGATTTAAATTTAATTTGACGAAAATTAATTTTACCGCAATTATAGATTATTTAAAGCAAGTTTTCAAAATATTTAATTTGTTGCATAAAAAGTATTCGACAAACAAGAATTACATTTCAAAGTAACGAAGGCTATGAGTGAATCAGTTTAATCTCATCATGAAATTTGCTTCATAATATGTGTACATATAAATTTTTTCATTGATAAATTCTGAAAAAGGCAATTGGCTCTTTAAAGTTGATAAAATTATTTAGAAAAATGTTGTCACTAGGGGAAATATCATATCAACTAGTTTGAAAAGTGTATTTTTGTGTGCCTAAGATACTTGAAAATAGATCCTAAATTGAAGATATAATTGTACAGAATCTTGCATAGTATGGTGATGGTTTAATAGATGTGCAGTGGGCAATTAAGATTTAGTATTACAAACTATGAGTATGTTTAATAACGAAGGCTTATCGGGATCAGTGGTAATAAGCATTGAATTAGGAAGTAACAGTGCTACGATGTTTTTTGCCTTTTTAGTAATTTTTAAGCGGATATCAGTTTGTTGTAAATACTAATGTCAAGCAGTGAATACATCTACAGTTTAAATCACAAACGTAGGTTCGCGAATGTGCAATACTGAGGAGCCTTATACTAGGACCAAAGGGCCGACCAGAGCTTCCAGATTCTGGTTTGGCTAGGGTCAGTTCGTGATTAAAACTGTGAAAGTTCCACAACCTCTACATACACCATTCCTTGATATTTTATCGAAATATTCACTAACCAAGGAAAGCTAATCGTCTCATGATGGTGAAATTCGGCTAGCATTAAATTAAATTTCTGTGATAATATAATCATTTTCATCCGAAATTTGCGTAACTGAATTCATACTTTATTTCAATTTAAAATTCCGTAAGTTTAAGATAAATTATTTGATGAACAATACAAAGTTGCTTAGTTGAGCTAATGTTGTTTTACCTTCTGCAGTTATCAACATCTGAACTTTGATAAATGATGGACCAAATATCTTAAAGC